GCCACTCACGTGGCGCCTGGCGGAGACCGTAGACTGGCCGCCGGAGGCTCCACTGGGTACCAGGAGGAAACGACCCAGTGAAGCCAGGTGGGCGGCGCAGCCAGATCTCCTCGTGCAGGCTGCCCTGCAAGAAAGCTGTGCCGAAGTCAAGTGAGTGGAGCTCGTAGTCACGCTGAGCAGCGACGTGCAGCAGAACCCGAAGAGTGGTCATCTTCGGGGTCGGGTAGAAGTTCTGGAAGAAGTCAACTCCATGCCGCTGACTGAAGCCTCGTACAACGTAACGCGCCTTGAAGACAGGCGGAGAGCCCGGTGGCCGCTTCACCCTGAAAATCCACATGCCACTGACGATGTTCGCCCCAGGTGGGGGAACCTCGTCGACGTAGGTGCCTATGGACTTCTAGGAAGCCATCTCTGCGTCCATGGCTGTCTGCCACTGAGAGGAGTAGGGACCGGCCATCGCCTCTGCGTACGAGCGTGGGGTCGGGATGTTTGGTGCATCCGGGTCTCCCTCAGGGGCAACAAGCATGGACACGAGATGGGGCAAAGCAGCAGCAAGGCAACCAAACTCCTCCTGCCTGTCCTCAAGGACGTCAATGCCAAGGGCACAGTCACCCCCGACGGACGGAGGACAGACAGACTCAGACTCAGCAACAAGACTCGCAGCGTAGTCTAAACGACACGCAGCTGCAAAGTCGACCAGCTCAGCAACTAAGGCAGACGCAGCAGCGAACTTAAAGGAAGGGTCAGTGACAACCGTAGCTAGGAGACGTGTGACAGTAGGACTGGCAGCGCGACGGGAGTCGGACGCCGGGACAGCAAGAGCAGGAAGAGAGGACGCAGGAGGCGACGGGAGAGAGACACGCTGTGGAGCACTGGACTGACGAAGTGCCATCTGGTGAGTGCCTGGGACAGCAGGAGGACGCTGACGCTGGACACGACGACCAGAGGTAGCAGCACGAACAGGCGACGCTCGACGAGACGCAGGCGACACAGGATGTGACTCAGGCTCACGACGCTCAGCAGGACCTCCAGTCGGACCAGTGTAAGGAGCAGGCACAGGGAGAGGGGAGGCAGGCGGTAACTGTGGCTGTGACTGGACAGACGGCGGACACTCTAAGGCGGGAGGAGGAGGTTGACCAAGAACCTATTGAAGGAGTGGAACGAACTACGGCCGAGGCCGTGCAGCAACTCCCGAACTAGCAGCGTCACCAGCGGCAGGGTCCTCAGCACCAGCAGCAGCACCTCCAGCAGCACCAGCAGTACCGCCAGCAGCAGCAGCACCTCCAGGACCAGGGTCAGAAGCACCCGCAGCAGCTCCAATGCCCGGGTCCTCAGCACCAGTAGTAGTGTCAACCCGGGGGACCCCAGCACCAGCAGTCCCACTACGAAGACTGATGTGCCGAGCGTACCACTCCCGGAGCTGTGGGGAAGAGGGCGGCTCCTGCCGCGGCGGGGAAACACGAGCACCAACTCCAGCAGCACCGCGAGCTCGAGACGCACCCCGCCGAAGGGTGTAGTACCGTGAGTACCACTCACGCAGCTGCTGCGAAGAGGGAGCTCCTCCAGGCGTCTCACAGTCAGCTGCAGTACCCCCAGACTCAGCAACTCCAAGCTCAGCACCCCCAGACTCAGTAACCCCAGGCTCAGCACCCCCAGACTCAGCACCCCCACGCTCAGTGCCCCCAGACTCAGCACCCCCAGGCTCCGCACGCTCAGGCTCTGCACGCTCAGGCTCAGCACCCCTAGCCGGACGCGAGTCGACAGCTACCTCGGCAAGCTCAACCGGGTCTACCTGGGAGACACCTGAGGGAGCGGCACCCTGAGGGGGGAGGGGGTCTACCACTGCAGCACCTGGCGCGAGGAAGAGAGGCGGGGGAGGGAGCGGGGCAGTGCGGTAGGGGAAGAGGCGGTAGAAGGGCACGGACTCGTCAAAAGTGACGTCCTGAGAGGGGAAGACGCGGTGCGAGGCGGGGTGGTAAAACTGCCAGCTAGACGCATCCGGGACAAAGCCAAGAAAGACACACGGAGCAGTGCGGGAGGAGAGCTTGTCCGCAAACGTGTCGCAAACAAAAGCTCGGGATCCCCAGACACGGAAGCGTGACGCATCGCCAACCTCCCCCGTCCACAGCAGTGTGGGCGAGGTCTCCGGAGCGGAGACACGGGGCCAGAGGTTGAGCTGATGCGCAGCGTACCGGACCGCAAACGGCCACAGAAAGTGGGGGGCAGTTGCGTGGACTAAGGAGGTACGAGCGACCTCCATGACCAAGCCAATGCGGCGCTCAGCAACCCCATTCTGCTGTGGAGAGGCCGGAAGCGTGAACGACTGGCGAATGCCATGCTCTGCACAGTAGGCTGCCAAGACGTCGGAGGAGAACTCGCCACCTCTGACAGAGTGCAAGCGCAGGACAGGAAACTCCGAGCGAAAACGCTCTCGCAGCTGAAGACGTGCTCTGCTGATCCAAGGGATCAGAACATCAGGGACTTCACCCTTGGTGCGCAAGGGGAAGACCGTGGTGTAGCGCGAGTAGTCGTCAACGACGATCAAGAAGTACCTCTCCTGGCCCTGACCACGGACGCGGGCTGGGCCCCACACGTCCATGTGGAGCGTCTGCAAAGGAGCAGTCGTCGGGGGGAACGAGGAGGAGTGAGGGGCAGCGCGCTGCCGCCCCTCGACACAGGGAAGACAAGGAGGAGCAAGGGAGGGTGGGAGGGGAGGGAGTACCCGAGGAAGACCAGAGACAACGTACCGGGCGTGCATGCCCCGAAGGCGCTGCACTGACGGGTGACCAAGTCGATGGTGCCAGAGGACTGTCTTGTGCGCCAGAGAGCGACACGAGCAGGGGGCTGACAGCTGACCTGACGCAGACGCAGACGCCGCTACCTGAGAGGACTCAGTGGTCAGTGTGTACAGGTCCGACCCCGGCTGCCGAGTGAAGGTAGCCAGGTGACGGCCCGTCCGAGCACACGTGCAGTGTGTCACGCGCTCGTAGGCAGGGGTGAACTGGTGAACACCCCCATCCTGAAGCGCACAACCCGCCACCAAGTTCGTAGAGAACGAGGGGAGGTGGAGACCTGACAGTGTGCCCGACAGGACAGCAGGACAAGGAAGGACAGTGGAGGAGGTCGCAATGACCGGACCCCCAGAGGGGTCAGCGAGCGAGACAGCGACTGGTCGAGTAAGGGGCTCAAGAGCAGTGCGGTCACGAAAGAAACAGCGCGAAGCGCCTGAGGGCGTATCCCTGGGTGGTGGCAGGGCAACTGTAGCAGTCACTGTTGATGGCATGCGGGAAAACCGCATGCCATCAACTTTGTGCCCGAACCGCCCGCGCCTCGCAGTTCGTGGCAACCACAACACCTTGTGCGAAAGTCGCACACGGAAAGAACCAACCAATCAAAAGAACCGTGCGATCCCACTCCACATGTTCAACCGGTTACTAAAATCTGAGTTCTTCGACACTTGCACCGGCAACAGCTATACTTGACGATCACGAAAGGCCTGTAAATTGGCAAGCATGAAGTGGTTGTGAGAAATGCAATATTGCGCCACTGTAAAATTAACGTTTCTTGACAACCTCCTGCAACCCATCTTCACGGGTCGACCACCGAGACGCGCTGCGCGGCGCGCAGTCAATACCACGCAGCTGACATGAGGGGTCCAAAGGCAGTCGACGCACACTCCAGATGCGCGTCCTTTTCACTTACATTATTCCGTCCCTAATGTCCTCCCTGGATGGTCTCTTGTTCTGCATAGCTGTGAACCTATTGTATGGGTTCTTTCTAGATAGCTTCAAGCGTACCGTGGCCATTGGTGCCCTGCATTGGATAGCAATGCTAGGCGCTACTCCGGCTACGAACGACGAGGCCGCCGCGGAAGAGCGGAGGAGGACCGAACGCCGGGACCATCAGCGGAAGGAGCGCCGCGCACGACGCATGGCGGAATGGCGGATTGAGCTCCGGATTATGGAGGACGATGACTTCGTCAACGTCTTCCGCATCTCACCACAACTGCTGGAGTACATTGCACCTGTCATGGCTCTCCCCATGAGCCACTTCGTTGAGAAGCTTGGGATCCCGCTAGACCTTTGCGTCCTCATCCCTATCAAGTACTTTGCCAGCGCCATGACCTTCATCGACCTGGGCCTCTACTTTGGTCTGCCCAAGACCATTGTGCACAGGATTTTGGAGGCCTTCCTCGTGCACTTCCCCAGGAGGTTCAAGAAGACCTGGGTGCGCTTTCCCACATCAGAGGAGATGGAGGAGATGGCATCGGCCTTCAAGGAAGTACAGGGGGTACCGAATGTTGTGGGAGCAATTGATGGCACACATGTCGAGATAAGGGGGATGGAGAACCACAGGCAAGAGTATTACAACAGGAAGTCCGTCTACTCAACCCAGTTGCAGATTACATGCGACAGCAAGGGGATTATCTGGGACTACACCGTCGGGCACCCGGGATCTATGCATGATCAGGGCATTTTCCAGCAGTCCGAACTGTACGCCCGCCTAGAGCGTGGTGACCTCGGACCGTACCAGATTGTCGATGATGCTGCCTACCCACTGCGCAGCTATTGCCTCACTCCTGTCAACGCAACCCGCCGGCGCCTGATGAAGAGCTGGGAGCAGACGTATAACTACGTCCATTCCGCCACCCGCATGGTTGTGGAGCGGACCATTGGTGCACTCAAGGGGAGGTGGCGTTTGTTCGGCCGGCGACACGAGAGCAAGTTGACGCGTGTGTGTGCGGGGACTGCGTGCATCATCATCCTGCACAACATGATCCTGCACACCGACGAGCCAAGGAACCGTACATTCAAGCATCAGTGGCGGGTGTGGATGGGCAACGGCCCACCGTGGTACCACCGGAGTGGCATGAGGACGTACAGATGGTGTGATGCTGACAGTGCTAGACAGTCCGACCTTCGCAAGCGGCGGAAGCAGTTTGGGAAGCACATGCATCGTGCTTACCTGAGAAGGCACCGCCCGTGGCGCCTTGAGCGTGACTAGTCGGACGTCCTGTCATCGCGCGCCTCATCGTCCCTATCGTGGGGATTGTCGCCAGCCTCTCTGTCTAAGGCGGGCGAGTCCTCGTTGCCATCCGTGACTGTGAGGGCGTGCGCATTGGCGGGCGGCGGCGGCGACACGGGCTGGGGTTGTGGAGGCGGAGCCCTACCCAGGGTGGCAGCGACGTGGATGGCTGTCACGAGGAGTTGCACCGTGTCACTAAGCTGCCGCAACGCCTGAGCATTGCATGTTGTGATTGTGTCGGCGATGACTTTCGCTGCCGCCATGGTGGCGGTCTCGTTGACTCGGGAACGCTTGGGGGGCATAGGTGAAGGGGTGCCTGCAAAGGGGAGTGGTGGAGTAGGATGCATGGTGCAATCGTTTCCAATGTTGCAATGTCATTGTTATAATCGAAATGTTTCAAGAATGTCGCTATCACATGCAACATGTAGTACATTGTAAAAAATGCTGTTGTCCGACGTGCTAGCTTTAACACTTACCTTCAGGGCCTCCGGGCCGACGGACTCGACGATCAGGGAGAGGCCCTCGGCGTCACCATTCCACCCTCGCCCATCTCGGCATCGTCGCGTATCGGTGCTCCTGGATCAGCGTGGGTCTCCCCTGCTCCGCCACCATCCAGCACATGCGGTTTAACGTTTGCAGGGAGCTTTTTAATGAGGTAAACATACTCGAACCAGGGTTTCTGCCGTTTGGCCGCCTTCCCTGACGTACCGTTGTGGCGGAGAGTGTCACGGTACTCTGCCTCAAGACGCTTCCATGCGTGTTGCATGGCGGTGCTGCTGCGCCACCATTTTGCGCCGCTCTTTTTCATGTGTGCGCAGAGCTTCTTCCAATACTGATTGCCCTGTTTGCCTCGCATATGCTTCAGATCGTCGCGAGTGTACCACTTAGCGGCCGCCAGTGCAGTAAGCTCCTCGTCGCTCTACTTGCGCTTCGCTTTCGAGCCACGTCTGCGCTTGCGTGTACTTGGTCCAGCATCCGAGCCTGCGGGATCCGCGTCGGAATCCTCCTCGTCGCTACTGTCCTTCGCGTTCGAGTTGTCGGAGTCGTCCTCGGATCCGCTGGAGGAGACAATCTCCTCGAGATTGTCATCGCTGAAGTCGGTGTCACCGCCGCCGTCAGAGCTGTCTGCATGGGCGCCTCGCGCTCCACTCGAGCCGGCGCCGTCCCGCCTAGGAGCTGCTTCCCGCATTATTTTACCCTGCGTATTTCCGTTTTCGCACTGTTCCTTCATCCACTTGATGTAGGGCGGATCCTCCCATGGCTCGCTATCGTCTACCTTCTCCTTTCCCTTACCACGGGCTTTTTGCTTACGGGGGGGCATGATCTCGATGGGGTTCTAAACTTGCCTAACCAACTAAACTGTCAAGATCGAGATTCACAACATGCGTAGTGCGAACCTAGATCTCCTGGAGGTGGTGATGACTTTCCCGCCAACACGACGTGCATTGAAGTTGGGTGACCCTTCGGGGAGGGGTTGTGCACGTTCCTGTCCCGACCAATGACAGCAGTTGGTGGGCCGGGAATTTTACCAGCATGTGAGAGCTGGAACGTGGTGTGTGCGATCCCAGTTTGCGAGGGAAATTTGGATATGCGTTGTGGTGATTGGACCGTGTGACCCAACCCAACCAGGCGATAAGTTCGTTCAACCAATCGCCTTGTTGCCTATGCGCGTCAGTTTTCTGCCACCAACCTCCCGTTATAGGTATTCGTGGCATCCGCAAAAACCGCCTGCCATCAACAGTGGTCCTGCCACCACCCAGGGATACGCCCTGAGTCTAAAGTGAAGGTGTGCAGTGCCTCTGTGGACTCAGTAGTACCTGGGGTGGCAGACACACAAGTACCTAGAGCAGTAGCCTCACCAGCACCTGGGGCAGCAGACACGCAAGCACCTAGGGCGGCAGCCTCACTCGTGTGGATGCCTGGGTCAGGCGGAACACACAGGTACTGGTCCTCCTCTCCACTAATAGTCAATGCATACATGGCTTTGAGAATAACATCAAAATCAAGAGCATAGATATCGATATCCTTCTTGAGGAGATCAGCCCATTGAGGGAGCTCAGGAGCATCAGGAAACTGAGCACGCCAAGCGTCATCCAGGCGAGAGAAGCAGCGCTGCGCAGTGTGCGCCCTCCCGCACGTCTGTCCCTTGCGGCGACCAGTGCGGATGACGTACGTGCAGCTAAGGCTACCCCCCCCACCCCCGTGCTGAAAGTACCACTCACGAAGCTCCTGGGAGGACTGACGGTGCTGCGTGCTCTGGCCAGTGCCAGAGCCTCCACGACCACCACCGCCGCCGCCACCACGACCACCACCGCCCCTGCCGCCGCCACGTCCACCGCCGCCACCACCACCGCCCCCACCCCGGCCACCGCCGCCGCCCGCGCCTCCACCACCCCCACCGCTGCCACTAGCCCCTCCAGCCCCGCCACCGCCTCCACCGCCGCCACCACCCCCACCACCGCCTCCCCCGCCGTCACCCCCGCCGCCCTTGCCTCCCCTGCCCTTGCCGCTGCGGCGCCCGCTGGGAGCGGACGCGGACCCGACCTGCTCAGCACCAAGGAGGTTGACAGCAGCAGCAGAGGCGACAGAGGGGAGCAGGGGGGAAGGGGAACACCCCTCAAAGAACGGGGTGCGGGGGTCGCCACGAGAGGCACCTACAGCTACAATACTCTTCTCAGCTGCAAGTAATTCCTTCTCTAGGGCGGCAATGGTGAGCTCAGTGGGGCAGCGGGCTAGGAAGTGGTCCCTGATTGTACGCAGAGTGTGAGGGAGGCGGGTGACTAGGTGGTAGAGAGTGAGCCAGAGCGGGGGAGGGTTGGAGGCAAGAAACTCAGCGGGCATGGCTGCACGGAAGCGGGCATCACTAGTGCGGAGGTGAGTGATGAGGTCAGCGACTGTCTGGAAGGCGGACAGGTCCGGGAACAGGTAGGGAAGCGAGAGGCGGCCTAGTGCAGCTGAGGCCGGGGAGGAGTAGCGCGCAACTACAGCAGTGTACAGGGCCTGCGCAGTCTGATGCTCGCCAAAGTGCTCGCGCTCGTCGACTGGCAGGGAGTTGCGAATAGCAAAGCGGGCGTGGGCATCGCGAGTCTGCCACTGTGAGCGAGTAGTAGCAGCAGCAGTAGTAGCAGGAGTAGGGACTGTGCCTAGTGCGTGATCGTACAGCGAGATATCCTCTCTGGCAGTGAGCTGGAGGAACAGGTGCAGATCATCGAGCCAGGTCTCAAACTTAATCGGGCGGCCCTCAGCATCGAACGAGAGAACTGGAGGGCTAGCCATAGTTGAAGTAGCAGTAGCAGTAGCAGTAGTAGTAGCAGTAGCAGCAGCAGTAGCAGTGGCAGTAGTAGTAGCGGTGCTGCTGCTCAGGTAAGGAGGGCGCGGCTCGGCTAGGACGGCGCAGCTCGGCTAGGGCGGCGCAGCTTGGCTAGGGCGGCGCGGCTCGTCTGGGTCGCGCGGTTCGGCTGGGGTCGCGCTGCGCGGCTGGGCCGTAGAGGGGCGAGCTCGGGGGGGGGGGGGGGGGGGGGGTGTATTGAGGCGAGCGCGGGGGGGCCGTTCGTGGGCCGTTCGGGGCTAACGCGGGGCCATTCGGGGGCCGTGAGAGGCTAGCGCGGGGTCGATCCAGGGCCGTAGGGGGCTAGTGCGGGGCCTTAAGGGGCCGTGAGAGGCTAGCACGGGGGCCGCACGGGGCCGTTCGGGGCTAGCGCGGGGCCAATCGGGGCCGTAGGATGCTAGCGCGAGGCCGTAGGTGGGCCGTGTGAGGCTAGCGCGGGGCCGCACGGGGCCGTTCGGGGCTAGCGCGAGGCCGTAGGGGGCCGTGAGAGGCTAGCGCGGGGCCGACGCGGGGCCTTAAGAGGCTAGCGCGGGGTCGTAAGACAGGGCCGTGAGAGGCCTTAAGGGGCGACGCGAGGGGCCGTGAAGGGCCTGAAGGGGCGACGCTAAGAACGAGGCGCACGAGGGCGCTAGGAAAAAAAAAAAAAGGCGGCGCACGAGGGCGCGGCTAGCGGAAACGGTGGGCCCTAACGTTTCGGTCCTAGGTGGAACCTAGGCTCGTAATACCATGTCAGAATCAGAAACGAGAATGGTGTGACTAACAGGAACAAGAGTACAAATATGAAAACCTAATCTGGTGTACCCCCTAAGGTGTAACCCACTACAGCCTAGAACCACATAAACATATAATGTTTGACAATCTGAAGGTGATCAAGCATTGTATCAGAAAAACATTGGGATGCAGTACTAACTACTCAGCGGCACTGAAGCAAGCGGAATAGGGGGGGGAGCGATACTGATGAGCTCGGGTCATATGAGACTGATGCAATACAATATGTGACAGCAACCACGGGAATTATATGAGTCGCTAAGCGTGGGATGTGTCGAGGAGAAAAGCTCCCCCCCCCCCCCCCCCACCCCTCCCCCCCCCCCCCCCCTCCCTTGCTTGGTCGAAGTCGGCCATGATGTTCGGAGCACAACGGTCTTCGTTTCATGGTCATTAGCGACTTCGGCAACTTTTATCTGTGCCGACGATATTAATTCGTCGATGTCAAAGTGTTTTTGCTAGTTTGCAAAATTGCTCGTCGACGTTGTATTGGTCGACAAGATTACATCGTCGTCGAAGACGAGCCTCATTGATCAACGAAATTGCAGAAATCGGCGTTTCGACGAAACGCTAGTCGACATAATTGAGCCCGACAAAGACATCGTCGGGCAAAGCGTTTCTGGTCGACCAAATTAACTTGTCTCCGAACTGTGCAATGTGCGCGAATTTCAACCAATCATGAAACAGAAAGCGTCGACCAATCTGACGCTTTCGAAAATTGTACTCCCCATGAAAACATGAACCAGCAATTAAACTGAACCTGAAACACGTTTTTACTAACCCAAAAAACGTATACATGAATGAATGTTGTAGACCTGAGCAACTGCCAACTCAAATGAAAGTTGCATATGTTTGTCGTTTCACCTGCCGTTGCGAACTCGGCAAAGGTGTATGCTTGTTGAGGAACGTCTCTTAGGGTCCATTTGAGAAAATGAACGAGAATGAATGAACTATGAAACAGTTGGGTACAAGTACTAACCCTAATTGGGTTGTACCCCTTATGGGCTACCCCATTAAAGCCTACACAGATGTATAATCTATAATGTTCCGACACACCCCCATAGGCAAAGTCGGGGAGAACAAGGGGTCACAAGACCAGTCAAGCAAAGCAAAGCAAGCTCAGGGTAGATCACAAAGTCACCACACATTCCGAGCACAGGTTCAAGGCCACAAGGCCATTTCACATGCAAGAGTACATATATATAAAAGGCTAGACAAGCAAGAGCAGGTGTATATATATATGTACCAATACAAACAAGGTCAAGAGGTGAGCAACTGAGGCAAGGCAGGCACAAGACCCAGCTGAGTCTAGAAGCGCTGATGATCACAAGGCGCAAGCGCCTTGGTGAAGATATCAGCAGTGTTGGCCTCAGAGGCCACGTACGCAAGACGCAGTTGACCACGCTGCTGCAACTCACGGGCAAGGAAGTAGCAGAGAGCAATGTGCTTCGTTCTGTGCTCTAGTCTCTGCTCCCGACACAAGGCCAGCATGGCCTTGTTGTCTACGTACAACACTGTTGCAGAACGAGGCGGCTCTCCGAGGTCAGTCAGTGTTATAGTCACAGTAGGCTCCAATATGCCTAAAACGAAAGATAGAGTGCACAGTCGGATTTCTGCACAGCGGCTTCAAACGTTCATATCGTTCTGGTCACAGCTTCAAATGATTTGATTCAATTTGATCTAGAGCGTCTTATTGTCGCCTAGAATAGGCAATTTAGATCGCACGATTTGACCAAGTATTGACGACACAGCGTTGGTTGGAACGAACGGCACTATGGCAGCCACTATAGTCTTAGAACACAAGATAGGAAGAGTTACGAGTTGGGAATGACTCCCAGCTCCTACAAACCCCAAGAGCCGAGGTACAGTGATGTGGAACAGTGCCACACTGTCCCCAACCACGAAGGGTCTTGAAACTACCCTTCACTACGGCCTACACCAAGTGAAATGTTACACTACACAAAGTAATGTAACTATCTTCAATATCTTGAGGAGTACCCTTTTGGCGAGCTTCGAAATCACTTGAGGCTTGACACCAAGGCTCGAGCTCTTCATCACAAACTCATCCTTGCGTTCTTGATGGGTCTGCTGCACAC